TGGTTAAGAAGCATGTTCGGCTTAAAGAGACCTATTTTTCACAAAAGCTGAACTAGATAATGACCACTGTAAAACCCTGAAAGTTCTATTTCATCCTTTAAAGTTTCGAGCCCATTCACCAATTTCACGGGGCTTTGAAAACATCAGGCACGAAGGATTGTTGATCTGATCCATCCATGAATTAGGTTTCATGAACTTGAAACTTGTCAACGCCATATGATATAGAGATAATCTATCACTGTTCCAGGGCACTCAGTGATTGATTCTCTCAGGCATGACATCTTGCTTTCCGGGCGATTTCGGCCAATTGTTGTTGTTTTATTTCCCTTACGACAAACCGGAATGCCAATTTTGTCCGAGCAAAATGGGCTGTGATCAGAGCAGCAACCGGTGAGACCAATGCTATGACTATTTCAACCACGGTGCATACGGGTGAAAGGCCGAGTGGTGCACGATAGACATGCTCGTCACTGAGATCGAACCTATTGCTTTGGTTTATGATCAGCGAACTTTGGTACTACTCAGTAATGCGTAATACGTTTCTAATAAGACGATTCACGAAAGCGGTTCCGCTGTACTAGTACAATGACTGACCGAAAAACGAGAGGTTTGGTGATTTTGCACCAACTGTGCCTATCACTGGTTTCCAAAACTGTATAGATATCAATGATTAGTTACGTCAAGAATGATGGTTTAAGGAAATAGAATAGGCAACTTTTAAACAAAAATGGAAAATGATGAGGAAAGTTTTATTTTTATAAAATTATTACTTACCGTAAAGTTAACGTACGACAAATAGATGGGTCTACGGAAATGAAAATCGTCCAATTTTGACGTTCAATACATGAACATTGGATTAAAAAGTTCAGAGAGTATTAAATTTAGTCGGATCTTTAGTGACAATCACATAGAGATTACGGCTCTCGACTCACAGAATAGTTACCACAAGTAAACCTCATTTTCTCAAGGTCACGTGCAACAAATCCAAGATAATACAGTTTACCCGACGAGCATATCGCGGAGCAACCAAAAAGGAGTAGGAAATAAATCCTTCAAGCAGAGGAAATTATTGTTCAATTTCTGTACAAACCATGGCGTATCTGTAGGTTATGCACACTTGCACCAATAGTACATTCGTGCAAACATTGAAAACAACTCTGAGAAATTTAACTGAGCGACAACCTGACGCGAATGATAGTAACGTGCCGGTACATGTTACGGATGAGAGATGCACACGCTAGATTTATTGGTCGACAGTAAGTACAATGTTTGGTATATAACAATGGAATCTATCAAATTTAACATCTACACACCAGAGTTAGTCGGTAATGATAGCAAGCGTAGTAGTGTTATAATTCCAGGAGACCAGTGATGGTTTGAGGAGAGTTATTTATTGCGAACCAGAGTTACGAGATGGATAATTTGACGTACACATAACAAGATATCTCTTTTGGAACATGCCATCGCAATTCCCGGCAGCACACAGGATAATCAATGGAACAGGCCGTAATTATCATTTTGAACACAGCAACTCGTTCTCAGAAGTCTTGTTCAGTTTTAACTGTTGAAAGAAACCGCCAATCATATCCTTTTGCGTGCTTCTCACAAATGTGAATAGTATCTCACAACAATCCCCCCCACGGCAAAAGGGATATCTGAATTCTTCGACCAATAGTCGATTGCTTCTTGGATTGTGAACGTGTCTGTCTCCGGTTTTCAACGTCGGGCAGTGCCATGCTTGACTTTTTTTGCAATCGGATTCTGGCGTTTCTTTTTTGGCGTCCAAATCTTGTTTTGGACATTGCCTCGTGCCATATTGAGAGATCATTCTAATGTATACGACGGACTTGGTTTATCCGTTTTATTTTGTACACGGGATGGCGTTCTTCAACTATGCGATATCAGCGTTTCCATCTGGGGAGTAACTTCTTCAAGCCTGGGCCGCTGGAGAATCCCCCAATATACCGTTTATACTTAACATTAGATCCCACCGGAGGCACGCTTGACGTCCATCTGGTTTTGCATTCTGAACTTGCGCATTTTGTCCCCCTGTACCTTCCTCGTGTAGTTCCGGGCCTCACATCTTGTCTGTTGAAGTCGTTGAGGAGATAAATCATATCACGGACAAATCCCAACCTCGAGATCAACCGGCAGCTTTGGAGTTCTCTCATACATTAGTTGAAATGATGTATGTTTGATACTGGCCTGCGCGGATGAACAGCACGCGAAAAGTAGTGAAGTTAGGTCGGATTCCCAAACCCATCCTTTTGCTTCCAACCATTCTTTGATTGTTCTGTTATTTCGTTCGGTGAGGCTGTTGGTTTACGAGTGGAAGGAAGTTGTGCGTATCCTTTTATTGCTTAACTTCTGTAACTACGTGCGAAATTCGTCACTCTCAAAACACGGGCTTTGATCCATAAGGATGGCTTGATGCACACCACGTTTTGCCAAAATATGCTCCATCAAAACTCTGCTTATCGTAGTAGCTTTTTGGTCCACGACTCCTACAGCGTTGATCTGGTGCGTGAAATGTCCCGTCGTTACAAAGATATATTGGTGTCCTCTGGGGGACATTGAAATTGGACCCATGAGGTCGATAGACCGTAACGCACCGATTTCAGATACTGGTATTGACTGAATTGGACATTGTGATGGGTGGGTGTCTGACTTGAAATTTTTACAAGCCAGCGCCTGGTTTGTCACATCAGCCTGCATATTTGGCAAATGAGCCGGCCATCGAAGCAGGTAGTAGGTTCGCTCTCAGCCTGTGTGTGCCAGTTCATGACTTTCTTTAATAGGAATTTGGCGCAGCTGTTTCGGAATGACGACTACAGGACACATGTTTCCTGGCTGTCGTTTCATCAAGATACCAGCAGCATTCAAATAAAGCTACTTCCATACGAACTTCCGAGACTTAATGTGTGATATGTTGCACGTTTCGGTATTGTTGGCCTTGTGAGCTTGCTTCGATCACCTTGAGGAGTTGTTGATCCTTGCGCTATTCCTTCACCAATTCGTGCTGGTGTTTTCTCACAGTCAGCATACTGAAACTAAAACATCGGTTTCTTCCTGAAGAGACAAGATCTCCTTCATACAGTTTTTGGCACCTGCAACACGATTGATCATGAAGTCGTACTCCTGCAGCCAAAGCGCCCTTTGGGCTATTTTTCCTCTCGGGTCCTTGGCGGTTTTACTCCACTCCAGGGGCTTTTGATCTTTTTCCATATGAAACCTTTAACCCAGAAAGTATGGCCTCCAATTATTCACTACCCAAACGATTGCCAGACATTCCGTGGTGGAATATTTCCGTTCCGTTAGAGTAAGGGCCCTGCTTGCTTATTCAACCACTCCACTTGCTTGTTTGAGTACGGTTTCCACTCCAACGTCACTGGCATCCCTCCCAACTGTGAAATGATCACCAATCACCGGCAACTTCAGCGTCAGGTGCTGTTCGGTCCTGAGCCTTTGAGGTTATTCGGAGGCTTTCTGGGCCTCTGGTGTCCTTCGGAAGTGATTTTCTTTCTTGAGCGATGCGTATAATGGTTCAGCGATATTCGTAAGATTTTTGACGAACCGGCTATAGTATGCGACATGGTCCAGAAACCGTCTTCATGTTCTTTTCAACGTTGGGCGTGCAAACTCCTTTAACTTGAGGATCTTCTCAGGAAGTGGCCTTACGTCTCCGTTTTCAAACTTATGACCAAGTAAAGTCACCGTTGGCTTTCCAATTTGGGGCTTCGACCCATTAATCCGAAGGCCAGATTCTTGGATTCTTTTCAGAACGCTTTCCAAGTAGAACGTGTGTTCAGTAGTTGTTTGACTGTAGACAACAATATCGTCGCCATATACCACCACATTGGGGACACCGTCGAGTAACTTCATCACGAGGAGGCAGAATGTAAATGGTGCTCCTGATAGTCCGAACGGCATTCGTTTGAATTGATACTGTTTATTGCCGACTGTGAACACCGTTTGAACTTGATCGAATTTCCTTATTGGGACTTGCCAATGTCCCAAACGTAAATCCACAACTGAGAACACTTTTGCGTTTTGTAGTTGGTCAAAAATCTCTGCTACAGATGGGAGTAGGACCGGTTTGTTTATAGTCACAGTGTTTACTTGGCAAAAATTCACTCAGAACCGAAATTTGCCTTTTGGTTTTTTGACAAGCAGCACAAGCGAGCTCTACGAACTTTGAGCTTGTTCAATGATTCCCTCCTTCAACATTTGCCCAATCTGGCGCTTGACATCGTCCTCCAAGTGTAGGGGAATTCGGCGTGAAACATAGGCTCGAAATTTTTCTGCTTCTATTGGAATTTCATGTTCGGCCCAGTTTCAGAACCCGTACGGGTCATCATCGCCTGTAAACAGATGGGAGTATCGTTGCATCACTGGCATCACTGACGGCGACATTCGTGTGAGCGGGATCGTGCCAAATTTGGTAACAAGCCGTTCCTCGTTCAGATCAACCACGGCCCCTTAACTGCACAAGATATCTGCTCCCAGTATAGCCTGGCTCGTGTCTTCTGCTTTGCAAACGGATGCTTGATTATCTCGTTTCCAACACTGACTGTCCCTGTTTCTACTCCGTCTACTTTCAACCGGTAACCACCAACTGTTTTTACAGCTGCATTCCAGACTTCCAGGGCCTCAGTTAATTGGGGTCTCGTCAAAGTTACTGTCGCACCCGTATCGATCAAAAATAGTTATTTCTGATCCTCTATCTGTAAATGGGCCTGGATTGCACCGCGATCTACTGCTTCGATGATGGCTTTGTTTGGGAAAACGGGCGTGTGTTAAATTAACCGTTTGTCGAGAGAACCAATACTATATCCTTCTGATCAATTCCTCCACCAGTGACCCAAATTGCCGCATTGAAAGCACGCATTCCTATTCTTCCTTACTCTGCAGTTTGATTTCAGCACCGTCATTTCTTCGGTTAGCTTTTTCAGGATTGCCGTAGCCTCCTCTGCCGGCTGTCGCTTTGGAACTCCTTGGGTCTAAAAAGCCGCAACATCATGATCGTTTAACTGCTTCTCGACTTCAGCCAGCGTGAATACATCTATGGCAAGTCCCGCAATGACAATTCGCTTCTTTTCCCGTAGATCGTCCAGAAGACTCTCCACGAAACGCGCCAGCCATAATTCCAAGCGAGCGGTCTCGTTCAAAGTTGGCAGCACTCGATCGAACAAGGTGGACAAGGTCACGGCATATGAACGGGAGTCCACACCAACTCCGAACTGCGCCATCCTGAAGCTTCGCAATGCCTCCTGACGGTCGGCTTAACGATAGTCGCATTCAAACCTGCGGCTGTCGCCCAATCATCATCGATTTTAGTCTAAGGCGATGATTCAAGTGGGTTATTACCACCATCGATGTTCACACTGTCATCATTGGTGAGACCTGTGGTGATTCCAGCCTACAGCATAACAACACCCGCGAGACGGCGAGTTACTGGACAACAAACCACAGACCACGCGTGCAGACCAATCAGAAGTTGTGCGATCTAGACATAATCTGTATGGTGTCAAGAATAGAATCAGGCGATTGGTGGATACCTACGTAACTAATAAACTTTATTTGTACATCTCATTTTATCTCACCGTTTCTTTCAATAAATGATCAGTTACTTTTTTGGCCTTTTTATTGCGACTCGGTGACGGGAGATATCAGCGTGCAAGTGCTAGTGTGATTCAGCACTTCAGTTGCATCCCTTATTCGTAATTCATAATTTGTGATCTGTTCCTACTTNTTCCTACTTCGACTACTACAGGACCTTTTATCTGCATTTGGTCTCGTTGATGTCAAGCAGCACAAACTACTCGATGGAGCTATTATAAATCCCCAAAAATGCACCGGGGCGAGTAGAGTTATTTGTCATGCACAACGATATTGGTAAATTGGCACATGTACAACAAGTCTTCAGAATTCCTATCAGCATACGGAATAATTAATGGAACTTTTCGAAGGGAGGTGCGCATTTTCCGTAGTTACAATAGTAAATACTTTAATCCACTGGCGAATCCCGTGAGAATCCAACAACCGCTTCTTGGTGCGTGCAAACTACCCACAAGTATGAGTAGCACCTCGCAAGACTATCACCTCGTTATGCGTTAGTACTTATGCCACGCGCATTTTTTCCATGGTAATCGGTCTATTCGAAACCGTAATCCATCCTCACCGATGTTCTTCGTGAATTTCCAGAGTTGACAGCCCTCAAATGAATTTGCGAGTGTTACTTAGGAGACGACCCACACCACCATCACCACAAGACCTCGCCGAATCATACCTGAGAAATTGACTATGGCTTGTGCAGAGTTCGACCACATGCTCCAGCTTGGTTTTATTCGTCCATCCAACTACCCTTAGTTTACCCTCGTTACATATGGTACCCAAGAATTCTCCTGGAGATTGGCGTCCTTGTGGCGACAAATATCCCATTCCATACATACATGACTTTGCACACATCCGTCACTCAAAACACTTTTTTTCCAAAATCGATTCTGTGCGTGCCTACCACCGATTCCCAGTGGCTAATTCAGACATTCCCAAAATAGCAGTCACAACCTCATATGGTATGTTCGAATTTTTACCAATGCCCTCAGGTTTACTTAGTGCCGCACAGAATTTTCAAAGTTTGTGGACCACGTCACTCGAGTTTTACACTTTGTTTTCGTTCACTTGGGTAACATTGTAATAGCTCTTCACTCGAAGAGTACAGCCCACTGATATGTTGTTTTTTTACGTTTTAAACATTACGGTCTCACTCTAAACCCACCCAGATACATTTTTGGTGTCTGATCCTTAGAATCTCTAAATCATGAAATTAATTCCTGAGGCATTCTTCCAATGTCTTACAAGGTTAGATTCATTCAAGACCTTTCCCCGTCCAAATTCGAATAAACAGGATGTCAGGGGGGTTATCGCCTGTATAATGTCCTAACGACGACATATTCTGTCCGGGGATTCACTCGCCTGCGAGTTTCCTTTCAGTCTTGGAACAATTTGGAAATAGGAAAAAGAAAGAGAGATAGAATCGCCTGTGTTGCTTTGGTAATCTGGGGTGGAGAGACTTTCGTATACGTCTGAGAAAAGAGAGTCCGAAGCTAAGCCAAACTCCCCTTTTGAAGGATCAGACTGTTCAGCATCTTACCGCACCTACGAATAGTCGGTTCCAAAGGGGGATGACTCTGTTGGAGACAGTGATGCTTAAATAGTAATTGGCTTATGATTCTTTCCAAACAATTACATTTCTAGTAGTGGCAGGGTCGCAAGAAATCCACTAGTCTACAGATGTGAAGGGCTTGTAATTTACACAAAGATTAGTAATATTGCGAGAAGCCTGAGGTACATTTGAAAATCACACTAGGCAAGATCGACACATGTGAAACCACCAATCAGATCTAGTCTACTGTGAGCAAACGCAGGGATCACACACAAGATTTAACAGTCTCTTGCAGAGTAAGGACAGAAGGGTAAGCAGATCGGCAGAAGTAAATCGGATGTCATCAAACCGAGCAGAGTGAGCATTGGAGTGAGTACGGGCAGTAACGACTCACCCGTGTGGACAGTCTTGGGACAGGATAGGGGAAGGAACATGTCTAACAAAACAGTTTTTTATTTGGGGGGAGGGGAGAGGGCTTTCATCAGTGTTAGCCTACGTCGCCCTTAGTTCTCTTGACCAATATGGTCTTCCGTGTTAGTAGAAGATAATGTGCAATTAAGGCAAATTACATAACTCAAATCGAATTGCAACGGCTCATGCTTTGACAATGAGGTGCAAGTGAGGGTGATTTTTAAAAGTATTCAAAATCGCCATCTGATTTAACTCGGCGACAGCATCACCGTTGATGTTGTTGGTTTTTACGCTCTGAAATTTTATTTTCTTCAAATCTTCTCACTAAAACGTCAGTCAACCATCTCTTTACAAGCATTTCGGTCTGTTAATTTATCTCCCAAACACTGAGCTTATCGGGTGCTTAACAGTGTTAGATGTTGGTTGTAGCCCAACGTGATGGACGCCGCGAATCCTCGCATGTCATACATGATTTTGCCAAAATTTAAATTGAGCTATTTTAATTCAAACGTCTGGATCGCGTTCAAGATGAGTCACCATGTTTCCCGAGTATCCCGTTTCGTGACACCAACCAGCACGGTAGTTTCCCTCGGCAGAACATGACTACAGCACAATAACCAAATTTTTAATAAGCTGGTGGCCGTGCAAAGCCTCCCGAAGCCTGATTACAGTTTTGGTTACCGATTCCTCCAGCCGCATTCGTATCGTTCAATAGGTGTGCCGTTTTTTAGCCTTAGTGTTAGACTAAATGACGGCAGTTAGGGCATAACTGAAGGCTATATTGTATACGGGTCTTGGACAGTAAATTCAAACTGAAATCATTTAGTTGATATCAATTTAGTTTAAGAGCAGCAGAAAAGGCTACAATTCTCGAACAACCAATGCGAGTTCAAATTCCACTGGAGCAGTGAAAGGAGTCTGGATAGAGGTGACTGGAGTTGAAGGAACGTCCGGCACGGAAGAAACAACTGATGCTGCGAGCGTTTTGACTGTTCGTGGAAGAGAAGAAAATGGAAGTAGTCCCAGTAAATTTTGTGAATCTGAGGAACGGAGAAATTTCGAATCTAAATTTAATGTGGGCGAGAGATTCGCATCTAGAAGTTGGCATATAATAACGATTTTATTGTCGGTGTTCCTCAGAGTTGCCCTTTCTCTCTTCGTTTCTGCTTAACTTTGTTATGGATTCGATTATGGAAACAGCCGTATCTCCGTGATAAAATGGTGCCATCGATTTGCTCCCAGATGGCAGACTGTTTGATCTGGAGTAGACTCGGTCATATAGGTAACGTTAGGCTCCCTGACTGAGGACCTCGGGATGACCGTAACCAGTTGTTAAAAACACAGTGATATGACTGTATCGTAAATGGTGGTGTTCATGCATCTCAATTTCTTTGCAACCTTAGCCTATTGAAATTCTCCATTTTCTCCTGCACTCTAACTGAACTTTCCTGTCTTTCTCCTACTGCTTCATTCAAAAGACAGCAAACAAAACCGCCGCACAAAAGTTAATGATTGTACAAAATGGACTGAACTGAACCTATTGATACTAAAGAGAACATAATGGAGACAGTGTAAGGCAGAACTGAGACCAAAATCAGAATTTAGATTGAGCAGTTGCAGCCAATTCCGATTTGCGCGGAGCGTAAAGTAAAATGGGATAGAGTAAGGTGTTGAGTGGTGTGATCGATCAGGGCATGAATAA